CTCCATGGTCTCCGAGAACCAGGCCCTCCCAGCCTGTGTTGGGAGCTTTAACGAACTTATTGGTCGGACCTAGCCGACAACGAACGTCTCGTCACCGGCAGGCTTGCAAAGCTGTCTGTGAATAACTGGGCAACGTCGACGGACGATCCTTTTGGTGTTGATGGCCTTGCGGAGGAAGATCAGGAGGAAGTCGGTTCGTCGGAAGGTGGTGCTCAGGACGAGAAACCGGCCTCTTCTGTGTCTACGCCTCCGGCTGTGCAAGAAGAGCAAGTTGACGAACCCAAGCTCACTCCTGAAGAAATCGTCGATCTGCTTGAACAGGAGTTTGGCGCCCTTGCTCCTCCTGGGGAGGAGAAGTTATTACTGGAGACCGATGGGGCATTCTTCAAGGATGTCGTCGTTTTGGTACGGTCTTGTTCCCACACCTTCACCCTTTGCGCACACCCTAAATGTTGGCTTACGTTTCACTATGACATTTAATATTCAGGGCGTCATTCACGTCACCACACATCGATGTACTTTTCATGCTTCCCTCTTGTCGTCTCAGCCGGGTTACAGTCAAAAAGTCGTCAAGTCTGGGACTGCCCTAATCCACCGCAAAGGATTGCATCGAAAAAAGAGGGTCTGGTTGCAGTTGGACCATGATATGATCAGCTCTTTCCCGTCCAGCCGTGACGAGGACAAAATCAAGCCCCTCCGAAGCATCCTGTGTTTGTACCTCTTATATGCAACCGCCATCCTTCTTCTGATCCTGCTTTGCAGTATCCGCGATCAAAGAAATCAAGGCCGTCGACTGGGAGCATCCCCGGATTATAGGTATAGTATATGAGTACCGCGAGGGCCTCACCGAGGGATGTGTCGAGTTTGATACAATCGAAGCTGCCCGGGACTGGAGGAACGAACTTAGAGGTGTGAAGACTTTTTCCCCCTCTTGATCGTCTAATGGATGAGTTCCCTGCTATAGGCATGATGTTCCTGTATCGTCGTAATCGTCGCGCCGTTTTAGATCCCACGAATGATGTCAACGGGATTCGTCTCAATATTCCTCTAAGTCGGGTCGCGATACTTTCAAAGTCGCCGTGCCTCTCTTTCGCTTGGATGCTTTCTATTACCCTTTCCTCGGACAATCTCGCTCCAATGGCGCTACAGTCTCGTCTCCTGTGGAAAATGATTCACTGTCCGACGGGACCTTGAGTGAGGTCCTTACTCAAGACAGTGAGACAGAGCCGCCGTACGTCGTACAGTTCGCTGCTATACACCAGGATCCGGTATGGGACGACTTTATGTCCTACGTCGAGAAAGCAAAGACTGCAATGGCCGCGAATGCCACCGAGTGGGCTGGCTCAAATGTGTACATCGACTTTGATCCCAGGGCTGAGATGGAGGACGAAGGGTCAGAGGGTGACGAGTTGAGCGGCCTGCAAAAATCTGTGTCAAATGCCTTGGGCATTGACCGCACGAAAGAGTTTTATAGTGAGTGGAGATGTCCCTCTTCTTCGATACAAGAATCTAAGGAACACATTTCAGTCGGTACGGCGCACACACATCGTCGCATCATCACCCACCACGGCTATTTCGCTGTGAATGCGGAGTGCGTCGGATTTTGGTCACGGTCTATCACCTTCGGCCGAGATGTGTGCTATCGGATCCCCATCGCGCGCGTCAAGGGTATCAAGGGACAAGAACGCTGCAGATTCTCAAAGGATCAGACTATTGTGATCGAAGTCCAAGGCCGACGTGATCTCCATATACACTTCAGTTCCGCAAAGAAGTGCGACGCGGCGCTTGAGCAGACCGAGCGCTTCATCGAGCTCGCCCGGGAACGACGTCGTGACTCCACATTTGTGGCCTCACCAATTTCTGAGTCGCCTCCCGAAGTGGAATCGCCAACAGCCGTTACACCTCCACCCTCTGCAACCGTGGAGAAGATCAACGTTAACACTACGGCCAGTAAGTCACCAACAAAGGCCACTTCCTTGCGCTCTCGACCATCTTCACGTTCCTCATCTCCTACATCAAACTCTGGGTCAACACCTATGCGCAGCGTGAGCTCCATTCTGGCGCCTCTCTCACGCCTGCCATCAACCGTACAAAGGACAAGGAACGCGAACATAGTCCGCGCGCTCTTCCCCAAGGCTATCAACCAGCCCGATGGGGTTCTGTTGCCCATGCCGTCGAAGCACTTTGTATGCCTGACGATTGGCTCGCGTGGCGATGTGCAACCATACATAGCGCTGGGTAAAGCATTGCAGAAGGAGGGCCATAAGGTAACAATTGTGACTCATGAGGAGTACAAGGAATGGGTCACAGGGTTTGGAATCGGGCACAGAACCGCAGGCGGTGACCCCGGGGCTTTGATGAAACTCAGCGTCGAGAACAAGGTGAGTAGTGTATCTATAATATATTACGATGGCTAAATGACACCGGCGTCAAAGATGTTCTCGCCTCAGTTCTTCAAGGAGAGCATATCAAATGTAGGTATCGTTGTCTTTGGGAGAGTGATATTGTTCATGGAATTGTTCCCAGTTCCGTTCCTGGCTTGACGAGCGTGCGTTTTCTTGACTCCATTCCTCAGGAGGAGGGAATTTTTAATCCTTCAAGCAGTCCTAGTTGATTCTTGGGAACAATGCAAGGACGCCGAAGTCCTTTTGGAGAGCCCTTCAGCAATGGCAGGTGTACACATTGCGGAGGCACTGCGTATGTTATTTCCTTACGGGTTCTGCGTGAGTCGAACTTTGATCTTTCTGCAGATATACCATACTTCCGGACCTTTACCATGCCCTGGACAAAGTAAGTTTCCCCATTATGAGTGATCCAGAAAACCTGACATACGGACCATAGGACTCGCGAGTTCCCTCACGCTTTTTTGGGTCCGCCAGTCGAGTCGCCCACATTTAACGCTGCGTCGTGCGTGCCTTTTATGATTCTTAGCTATGTGAGTCACTGATCCACTATCATTAGGTATGTCCTTTTCGACAACGTGCTTTGGACCGCCACTTCGTCCCAAATCAATCGTTGGCGAAAAAATACCCTGGGAATAAGCTCAACGGACATGGGCCATCTTGCACAGTCCAAGATCCCATTTATCTACAACTTCTCTTCGGTACTTTCAGTGTTACACGAGGCATCACCCACCATATTCACGTGTTCATATAGGCCGTGGTTCCCAAGCCTCTCGATTGGGGTGACGCAACAGCAATTACCGGATAGTGAGCTATGCATCCAGTCCTTATTTATGAAATTCTTATGCGCATTCCGTTAGCTGGTTCCTGGATAATCCAGAACTCAACTGGACGCCGCCGAAAAATCTTTCGGATTTCATTGCGAAGGCGCGCTCCGATGGCAAAGCGCTCGTCTACATCGGCTTCGGTAGTATTACAGTACCGAATCCCAAGTTGGTGACTGAGCGCCTCATCCGAGCTGTACTGAAAAGTATGCTTCTATGACTCGTGTCTCGTTACTACTTCTGACGCTTGCACGTAGGTGATGTCCGCGCAATCATTTCGAAGGGTTGGTCTTCACGCATGGCCAAACCCAAAGGCGAGGATGACGTTGTTTTCCCGAAGGAATGCTTCTTGGTGGGTTTTACTCATTCTCGTCAAGTTGCCCTAGATCGCTGAGTGCTTATTGCCTCCTCTCTTGCAGCTGGATCGGGTGCCCCATGAGTACGTGTACGCTACTGATGATTACGTGCTACATCCTAAACAATCTGCTGTACAGTTGGCTTTTCCCGCAAATTGATGCAGCCTTACATCACGGCGGAGCCGGCACGACGGGTGCCAGCCTGCGAGGTACGGAGTTTCATCTGTGTGAGCCTTGTCATAATCGTTGACCAAACGGAGCAGCTGGGATCCCTACTCTGATCCGTCCGTGGTTCGGGTAAGTTCCTTCGGCCAACGGGCTCTAATTGTGCTGACGAATTGTATTTGTTTGTACGTACAGAGATCAATTCTTTTGGGCTTCACGTGTCCAGAAGCTGGGTGTAAGCCTTCCATCACGGCGCTACTCACAGCGGTTCCGTTGTTCTGATTGCAAATCTCTTGCCCCACAGGCCGGATTAAGGGTTAATAGTCTCCATTCTTCTGAGGTTGCGAGCGCGCTTAAAAAGGCTACCACTGACCGGTGAGTGTCATCGGAGTTCCGTCTTTACATTTGGTATTGGTATTGACATAGAGGAACTTGCGTTACAGTATCATGAAGGAGAAAGCAGCGAGTGTTGGGGAACGAATTTGTGCCGTACGTTTAATCGTGCATGACACCCTTTGGCGTATTTTTACTGACCGGCTTCTCTTAACTGGACTACAGGAGAACGGCGTGCAGTCGGCTATCGCACAAATATATACTTATCTTCCCCGCGCTGGGCGCGACCGCAGGTCACTTCCAAAGTAAAGATGACCATCAGTCCCGAGGTGGGGTCTGTTTTGTGCTACTTCATGCAGTAGCCGTCTTGCTCTATGCCACCCTTGTTGAGCACGTAGTTTCTCTTGCGAGGACGAAGTGAAACGTAATGTTGTTGGAATATTTACTGTACTGACCATTCTGTCGCTGTCTCTCTCATCCTTTAGTCCTTTAGTGTATGTGTTACCTCTACGTACAGTATGCTGGCCGTAATTTATCGCCGACGTCTCTAAGTCGTAACGCTGTAATTTGGCACTACCATCCATCCTACTATCTTCATGGTTCATATTTGTGTTTTCCTTGACTTGTCGAATGTAGTAGTGGTTCGTTTATGGTTCAACTGTGACCAGCCAGAGCAAGTAAAAGATAACATCTCAATCCTTGGTAAGATGTTGCATGACATGACTTCTTGATATCGTCTGAAGTCTTCGTGTCCGTGATATTGTCCCCCTCGTCTGCATGTCGAGACATTTATACCCTCGTTTGTTGCGGCGAGTAGGCTTCAGCGCTGCCAGCTAAAACTGGTCCGCGAAGGAAGCACCAGAGTGTGGCTTCACGGGCAGAGTTGGAATATGGCCGAATCGACACTTTAGAAAAGAATGGGCTGGGTGGCCTAGCGGTAAGGCGCCCCAGTACTAGTGGGGGAGACCCAGGTTCAGTTCCCTGGTCTGGCCAGATTTTGAGTAACAGGTTATTATATGGGCCCTGTGTGCTAAAACTGGTCCTCGAAGAAAGCACCAGAGCGTGGCTTCCGAGGGAGTGTTGGAATATCGAATTCACACTTTGGACTGTAACAGGAGAACGTGGATGGGCGGCCTAGTACGGCACCTCAATACTAGTGGGGAGACCCAGGTTCAATTCCTGGTCTGGCCAAATTTTTTATGTAAATTTTTTGTCGGGCGACACTGAGCTGAGGTGCTAGCGCTGCTATATTTCTGTGGTTTTTTTTCGCACTTTTATGTACAAGTACATGATTCATATTCCAACGACACAATTCATCAATACAATCACCGATCTTCCTACTACCACTACTAGTACATCTCTTACAACCCCGTCCATTCAAATCCCGACTTGATTGTCATCGTCGCACTCAATGGCAGTTCTTGCGAGCTAGCACCGACAAAGACGGTATAGCTGCCATTCTCCACGACCCACTTTTCCGAGCCCTCGTTCCACGAGGACACCGCATATTTGGTCAAGTGCATCTCCGCGATACACGCTTCGTCAGGGTCCAAACGTGATTTCGTGAACGATTTCAATCTCAGCGGAGGATGGGATAAGGATAAGCCTGACGCTGAGGAGTCGGACGGCCACGAGATATACAACTGGGTAATCTCGGAGCCTGCGACATTTCCCGTGTTCCTCAACGTGAATCTGACCGTGATTTCGATGTCATTCTCTCTTGGCTTTGGTTCTAACACTTCTAGACACGAATACTGGAAAGTTGTGTACGACAAGCCATGTCTGTAAAGGGGTATTGAACCACGAAAAAAAACCCCGAATATTTTAAAAAAGGGGCGTGGAATTTTACGTACCCGAAGGCAAATGCGGGGGTGATACGTCTGTGTTGATAATGTTTGTATCCCTGTGAGATGACTGTAAGTGGCAAAGATAGATGCGGACTCGTAAGAAGGATGGTGCTGACCACGTAAATATCTTCAGCGTATCGAACCTGCACCACCAATATTAGCATAGAATGTTCACAGTATGCGAGTGGAAGCCTGAGAAGTACCTTTCCGTTGTCTACGTTGAAATGTCCGAAGGATGGGACATCCTCCAATCGGGTTGGGAATGTGATTGGGAGCTTGCCTGAGGGATTCACTTTACCGAACAACACATCTGCGATGGCATCGCCAGTTGCGTTACCAAGATACCATGCGTGGACAATAGCGGGAACTGAATCCGCCCAGGGCATGGTAATCGCTGACCCCTAAAACAACAATGTCAAACCGAGTGCACGCAGGAGAAAAAAGAAGCTGCAGACTCAGCGGCCCATACCGATTGTGTGACGACGACGGTTAACGAATTAGCCTTGACTATTCTCTCGATGAGTTCATTTGTCCTCCCGGGTAGATCCAGCGTGGTGCGGTCGTGACCTTCTGTCTCCCTTAATCAACGCGTCAGAACAGAACAATACCATCCTGAGAGCCCACCAACTGGGGATTCTCGTACCAGTCGGCATTCAGCCCTACAACTGCGATAACGGCATCCGCATCCTTAGCGAGCTTGACAGCACTTTCGAGACGTTCTTCGGGATCCTGAACTTCAGCACCTCCCAAGCGGACGCCAGCAGTCGTATCCATCACTATCTCGTTCTCGTCTCCGTCTGCAGGTCCTCGGACATTGCAAAACTCCACATATATGTTGTGTGATTTGTGGGCGACGAGCTGAACGGTACCTCTCTCTTCCAGCGTCCCGCAACCAAAAAACTCCCATCCCCGGCGTTGCCGCGTCCAGTTGTCGATGACAAGTTTGTCATCTACCCATAGCTGAAATAGTGGGCGGATGAGTTATCATCAGAAGAGTTCCTGATAGATGCCAGCTCAAAATTAAATACCTTGGCCCTTCCCGCGACGATGAGCCCAAACTCAAAGGTCATGTCTTTCTCACGAGGCACGAGCTGGCCACGCAGCCTCAGCGTCCACCTGCGCGTGAAATCATCTTTGAGGCCTCCCGACTCCGAAGGTCGAGAAGAATGCGCGTCTCGTCGATCACCCTTGTTTGGACAGGCTCTTCCACGACTATCATGCTATCATCGCTCTCGTGCCTATGCCACGTTCCCAACCAGCAGCGCCGTCCCGTGGAGGTGACGATATCCAAGTCAAGGGAGGGCATGGCCTTGAAAACTACCATATATTTTCAGCCAAGTCCTGACGGATCCCAAGATAGAAAAAAAACTGACCTCGAGCCCCCTCGCTGTATGTAACTTGTACACCTTTGGGTAATGCGTTCACAATACCTTCATACGGGGACATAAAATACGACGGCTTCAGCGCTGCGGAACCGCCTCCCGAATAAACCAGTCCCTTGGCGTTTCCTCCAACAATCGCTATCTTCTTCAGCCTGTGAGCTTGGAGCGGAAGGACGGCACCCTGGTTCTTCAGGAGGGCGATAGACTCTCCAGCAACTTTTCGCATCAATAATTTTTCTTCCTCGGTATCTCTGGTATGTTCTTGACCATCACCATCAAGTACCTATAACATAAATTTTTATCACGAGGCCAGTCATTAGAGGATTGTCGTCACGCACCTCAGGCGCCTCTCTAGCACATTTCTGGACAAGCTCGAGGACTTTCTTCGCACGTTCTTTGATGGTTTGGACAGCAACTTTTCTCGCCACAATAGATCTTTCAACGTTTTGGAATGTGCGCCACTTATTCAGCCCAGGCATTTCCAGGTCCAGTCCAGCATTGATGGCATGGTCTACGCTGTAGGTACCGAACCTAGAAATTTGTCAAAAACAAAAAAAGGCATCCGCTTTGAGTTGAAAATCTTACCAGTCGCTCATGATCAATCCGTCAAACTGCCATTCCTTTCGGAGGATGTCGTGCAGAAGATGCGCGTTTTCTGACGCGTGAGTACCATTGACACGGTTATATCTGATTGCTTGTTGGCCACGTCTCGTAAATGATCTTTTCGGCGTACGCTGTCATAATCGACCAGGGCTGCGCGTCTTTTTGCGCCAGCATAAATGGCATCAGATAGATCTCTCTGAGAGCCCGTGGGCTCAACACGCTGTCGTATCCCATACGTTCATCCTCTTTGTCGTTGGCTCTGGTGATATCGTTCGGATCAGCGCAAGAATGAAACTCACACCCAAAACTAAGTTAGTGAGAACGCCGGCCTTACACGAAGTGCTTGATAGTTGTACCTATGCCCCCACTCTGCACTCCTCTGATGTACGCAGAACAGATAGTCCCGGAAAGATGCGGGTCCTCAGAGAAGCTCTCGAAGCTCTGTGGTCAGTACAAAGCCCATGCGTGAGCGGAAGTACTGCGGTGCCGCAATATGAACTCAGGCTCACACGACCTCCGAGTGGATTCTGAAAGACAATCAAGATACCGAAACGAGATCGTGACACGTAGACGAACTCACACGCTGGATATTGCAAGTAGGGGCTAGGATGAGGGATGATGCTTTGAGCTTCGCCTCAGGGGCCAACAGCTTGTATCCAACTTCCTTGATAAGATTGACGTCCCATGTGGCCGCCAAGGCCGTAGCACACTATGTCCCGTAAGCTCGGAAAGAGGAAGATGTAACCTGAGTGAAAACCCACTGGAAGGCACTTTGCGGGAGTGCCCATGAAGAAATGGCCGCCACGGATACCTTAGTTTACAAAGGTATGAAAGCTCTGACTCGGAGCGGCCAACTAGTATACAGTGCTCTGACGTACCATTAGGACCATCACTCACCTGTTTGTAGTTGGATAAATGAACATGATATCAACGCAACGTGAGTCTTACTTTGATGGCTGGTATTCCAAGCCGTTCGATCGAAGCCGTGTGCCAGAATCCAACACCAGCGATCAGCTTTACGGCGTCTTCCGTGGATAATTTGTCGAGAATTTCATCGATATTAACGTTGGCAAAGTCTGAAGGAGGCATGGACTACTAGTGTCCAAACAAACGCACGACTTTAGTAATAGAATAGCGGCGTCGCACCCTCATCGCTCAGCGACTGCTCAGCGCCTACTTTAAGCGAGTCATCAATCAGCTTCTCCGGTTTCGTGGGGTAAAATTTCGCCCTCAGAACATGATGGCTGCTGGGTGGCAAGCAGGAAACTTATCTCAGAATGGCGGCAACGAGAATCAAGAATAAAAATGCGCTTGGGCCACGCTGATGTCGAACTCGATGCAAGTCGGCTCAGGACAGGCATGAATGTGCAATTCCAAATTTTCTTTTTTTTTCTTTTAAAAAAGACGAAAAAAAGTTGATGGAAAATGTAAACGCGAAACAAGACCCTTAAAAAAAGAAAGAAATAAATAAACCAAAGGTCGAAAGCCTAGGCAAGAGAATTTAACAGGTGGGATGGGTTCGTTGAGGGGTTGAGGGAAAAGGGAATAAGTGGATGAATGATATGGGGTGCGCTGTAAAAAGTCCTTATGCCGAAACCTGCGACCTAGGAAGAGCGAAAATAAATAAGAAAAGGGTTTATGAAACATTGCAGAGGAGCATTATAATCAGCGCGATTGAGGCAGTGGATGGTAAAATGAGTATGATAGCAGAAATATATGGAAGTTGTGTGTATGCATGTGTTGTGTTGAGGGGGAAGTTGGGTGCGGTCGGGTTCCGCTTTTTGCATAGTGAGTACAAACATGTGCCTTGTTAAGCATACACTGGGGTGCATGAACGGAATGTCCAAAGTGAGACGAATATAGACGGCTTGGCTAAAAAAACAGTAAGTGGATTGTATGCATAGTGCCTCCTCGCTCCGGTTCATGTCTATGGGTGTTTGCGTCAAGCGATTGCTTTGAGCTCCGCGACCAGCCGCTAACCGCCAGCAACCATCATTAGAGAAACCAAGTGAATAGACCACGGAGGCAGACGCACCGTTGCCTCGCGCAGGAGGTCTTCCGGACTCAAGTCTGCCGAATTCTGCTGTTGGCCGAGTCGGATGCCATATTGCAGTAATTGGCGCATATAATACGGATTGATGATTGTCTCATCCTCCGCAAG